GTCCCGTACATTTGTTGGGTATGGGAGTGTTTGTATGACATCAATCTTGGCCTTGTCTACTTCAATGCCTTTTGAGGAGATCACATGCCCAAGAACAATTCCTTGTTCCACCATAAAGTGACATTTTTCAGAATTTAGGACAAGGTTGGATTCAATGCAACTTTTTAGCACAAGAGTGAGATGGTAGAGGCAAGTGTCAAAAGAGTCCCCATGAATTGTAAAATCATCCATAAAGACCTCCATGAATACCTCCACAAATTCAGAGAAGATGCTCATCATACACCTTTGAAAGGTGCCCGGTGCGTTGCATAATCCAAAGGGCATTCGTCGGTAGGCAAAAGTGCCAAATGGACATGTGAAGGTTGTTTTCTCTTGGTCCTCCGGGGCTATTGGTATTTGGAAATACCCGGAGTAACCATCAAGAAAACAATAGAACTTGTGCCCCGCTAGTCTCTCTAGCATTTGATTAATGAAGGGCAATGGAAAGAAGTCTTTTCTAGTTACCGAATTGAGCCTTCGGTAGTCAATGCAAACTCGCCACCCGTTTTGAATTCGGGTGGGTACCATCTCGCCTTCTTTGTTCTCAATGACCGTCACTCCGGTCTTCTTTGGCACCACTTGGGTTGGACTCACCCATTTGCTATCGGAAATGGGAAAGATGATTCCCATTTGAAGCAACTTGATCACCTCCTTTTTCACCACCTCCATCATGGGCGGGTTCAATCTTCTTTGCGGTTGCCTCACCGCTTTGGCCTCATCTTCGAGTAAGATCCGGTGCATGCATGTGGATGGGCTAATGCCTTTAATGTCGGCAATAGACCATCCAATGACCAACTTGTACTCCTTGAGGACCGCAATCAATCTTTCCTCTTGTTCTTGGGCCAAGGCATTTGAGATAATCACCGGTAGAGTGTGATTTTCGCCCAAGAACACATGTTTCAAATTTTCAGGGAGTGGTTTTAATTCCACCTCCGGTGCCTGCAAAACAGATGGTAGCGGCTTCTCGCTTGGGATGGTTAGTGGGAGGGCTTTAGAGCCCTGTGGCAAAAGTGGGAGTTGATTTAACTCCGCCACCATAACTTTCATGTTATTTGACATAGAGTATTCCAAAGTGAAATCCTCTACATCATTCTCAATTGAGCTTAATATTTCATCTTTTCCCTCAATTTCAAATATATCTTGGACCCAAGTGTCACAAGTATCAATGGCAAAAAGAGAGTGATTATCGGTGGGATATTTCATGGAGTCATAGATATTAAATTCAACTTTCTCACCGTCGAACTCCATGGTTAGTATTCCACTAAAGACATCAATTTTTGCTTTGGCCGTCTTTAAAAAGGGTCTTCCTAGTAAAATAGGGACTGCATTTTTATCGTTCTCCATTTCGAGAACGTAAAAATCAGCGGGAAAAATTAAATTATCCACCATGATGAGTACATCCTCTACTACACCTTTCGGGTAAGCATTGGATCTATCGGCAAGTTGGATTACAACCCCCGTTTCATGTAAAGGGCCTAGTTCTAGGGACTTATATAGAGAATATGGGATGACATTGATTGATGCTCCCAAATCTAACATAGCCCTCAAAAAACTAGAATTTCCAAGTTTACATGGTATAGTGAACATTCCCGGGTCACTATACTTTTTAGGCAATTTCTTTTGAAAAACGGCCGATACTCTTTCACTCACTTGGATTTTATGCTTTCCATTTAATTTGTGTTTCCGTTTAATTGTGCAAAGCTCTTTTAAAAACTTTGCAAATCTAGGAACACCTTTAATCAAATTGAGAAGGGGGATATTTACCTCACATTTGCTGAAGGTCTCATAGATGTCCTTGTCATTGTTGTATTTGCGGTTGTCCTTGAGAGCCTCCGGGAAAGGTGGTACCGGCTCGTATGAATCGAGCGGTGGAAACTTCCTTTGAGGTGTGATTTCCTCCTCCTTCTCCTCTTCATTTTGAGGATTTGTGCTTGGCACCAAGATATCCTCCTCTTCTTCCCCAACTCTTTACCACTTCTCAAAGTGACTGCGTGAGCTTGTTGCCTTGGATTCGGCTCCGTTTGAGATGGGAGTCTTGCCGAATCCTTAGCTTCAAGCCTACTCACGGCATTTGAGATTTGACTCGTTTGATTTTCCAAATTGTGGATGCTTGATTTGGTCGTTTCTTGGAATTGGGTCACACTTTGTTGCATCGTGGCCATGTTCATGGCCAGTGATCGAATCATGTCTTCAGTGGACATGCTCGAGCTCGATGTTTGCCCTTGTTGTTTATATTGTTGAGGGGGAGGGTTTGATTGTTGAGGAGGTTGAGAGTTTCCGTACCTTAAGTTGGGATGATCCCTCCACCCCGGATTGTAAGTGTTGCCGTGAGGATCATATCTTCTTTGACCTTGGAAACCCAAAGCATTGACTTGTTCGGGGTTCTCCTCTTGAAGTGTTGGGCAGGAATCGGTGGGATGCCCTTGTGTCGAGCATATGCCGCAGACCTTGACTTCTTGGGTTTTTGGATTCAAAAGAAAATCTTTAACCAAAGAAGTCAAGCCGGCCACTTGACTTTCCAACGAGTTGTTGGATTCCGCTGCCATAACTCTTTTTGATGATGACCTCCCATTGTAGTATCTTGAGTTTTCGGCTAATTCCGAAATGAGGTCTCTTGCTTGGGAAGGGGTTTTGTTAACAATACCCCCTCCGCATGCCGCATTCACCATGCGTCTATCTTGATCAACAAGCCCATCATAGAAGTAGAGGATGAGATCTTGTTCCGAATACCCATGATATGGGCAACTAGCGCATAATTTTTTAAAGCGCTCCCAATATTCGTACAAGGTCTCATCATCTGCTTGCTCAATGTTGCTAATTTGCTTTTTGAGACTTGAAGAGATAGATGCGGGATAGTACCTGTCGAGGAAGCTCTTTTTCATTTGAGCCCATGTGTTGATGCTACCCGAAGGAAGATAGAAAAGTCAATCCTTCGCGGTGTCTTTTAAGGAGAAAGGAAAAGCCCTTAACTTGATTTGTTCCTCGGACACGCCATTGGGGCACATGCTCGTGCACACAATATGGAATTCCGAGAGGTGTTTGTTCGGGTCTTCCCCCCGTAGGCCATGGAAAGAGGGAAGTAGATGAATGAGCCCAGATTTAAGCTCAAATGTGACCCCCGTATCAAGAGTTGGAAAAGTGATACATAGGGGTTGTTGATTTAGATTCGGAGCTGTGAGCTCCCTCAATGTTCTTGTTTCATGAGCCATAGTGATTGGCTCTTCGGTCTCGCTAGATTGAGAACTAGCACTTGATGATTCTCCCGAGTCGGAGTTTGAGAATTTGTTTTTCAACCGCTCGAGAGTTTGTTCTATTTCGGGGTTTGAGTGGTATGTGATTTCGTTCAGTGAACGATATTTTACCATGTACTACAAAGCTCAGAAGAAATAGAAATCCATATATACTTTTTTTTTTCTTTTTCTTTTAAAATAAAATAAAAAGAAAAATTAATTGCTTTTCCCCGGCAACGGCGCCAAATTTGACGTGCACTTTGTCGTGAGTGCACTCAAAATAAATCGATACTAACACTTATACGTAGTATAGGTGAAGTAGAGTTCGTATCCACAGGGAAAGGAATAACTCTCTTTTTATATAAATAGTAGATAAAAAGGGGGGTTTTGATTGTTGAGTGATTTAATTAAATTAAACACGAAGATGAACGAGTTATATGGGATTAAATTCAAGAATAAAAGGGACTTGGTCTTGCTACTTTCCACTTGTTGATATATTTTAGTCGATCATTGTTATATATATAACTTATCCCCTCTCGAATACTCAACCGAGGAGTATATCCAATTCATCGAGGGTAGTTATTAACAACGACCGTTCATTAATAACCCTTACTATTTATCAAATATAGAACAACGCCGTATACTGATATAACAGTAGCTTTTAACCTCTTTAACTCCTTGATGAAATCAATTAAGATTGATAACCTCAACGCAACGGTTTCGGTTTAACCAACAAAATTAATCCCTCTTAAGTTTATTAACCACGACCGTGCATTAATGAACCGAAGTTACTTACTTATGAAACCTTCAACGTTTAACCATCGGTTCGTTGAACGTTTCTAGTAATAATCAATGTTGGAACGTTAACTAATCGTCACTTAGCCACCCTCCAACAATGATAGAGAATGAGATTAAGGGAAGAATTAATAATCAAGAGGAGAAAGTAAGAAAATAACTCACAACTTTAATAATCAATCAAGCTTCAAGAGCAAAACCAAGAAATGGAAGTTTAGCTCCTCATTTGGAGACTAAACATGCTAAAAGAAATATAGAGAAATGCTATTCTAAACTGAGCTAAGAGTGTAAAGGAATTGGTAGTCTAAAAGTGAAGGAAAGGAGGTGTATTTATAGGCTTTTTGAGGTGCAGGTCGAGTACTCGATCGAGTATGTACATATACTCGATCGAGTATGTGTAAAACTTCGAATTCGATCCTTACTCGATCGATATTCGGGTATAATTTAAAGCTATACCCGATCGAGTATGTCGGTGTACCCGATCGGGTATAGACACTCGATCGTGGAAAATCTTCTCCTGCATGTTCCTTTGTTTTCGGATCCGATCCGATTTGAAATTTCAACCAGATACCCGATCGAGTATATGTATATACTCGACCGAGTATAGACCAAAATCAGGATTTCCTTTTTGTCTTGTGATTTTTGCACCTTCTTTCCACTTTTGGGGTTCACCAACTATCCTTTGAGTGATGGCAGACCTGTTTGAGCTCAGAATAAACCTAATCTAAACATTTTACAAGAATTTAACAAACTAAACTATTACACCAAAAGTGTGTAATTTCCGAAATGCTAAACTATAAAAAGTAACTAAAAATGCAAACATAAACACGGAAATTACACATGTATCAACCATTGAGTAAAATTTTCTGAACACATTTTCAACTTCAGATTTCTCTTTAATCAGAAAAACCCATGTTACTCGTGTATGATCATCTGTAATAGTTATAAACCATCTTTGTCCTTTCAAGGTAGAAACTCTAGATGCACCCCAAATATCACTATGCACAAGAGTAAAAGGACTAGTAGGCTTGTAACTATGAGGGATATAAGAACTCTTATGATGTTTTGCAAGTGCACACACATCACAATGAAATGATGAAGGGTTTTTATTATGAAACAACTGAGGAAACAACTTTTTTAAATAGTAGAAACTACGGTGACCTAGTCTGTAGTGCATTAAATACACTTCATTATTACAAGAAAGAGAAACAGTTTGCAAACAAGCATTTTCTTGACCTTGTTTATTCAATTTAGTTCCTTCATCAAAGATATAAAGTCCATCTTCCTCTCTAGCACTGCCAATCATCTTCCCCGATGCCAGATCCTGAAAAACGCAATAAGAGGGATAAAATTTGACACAACACTGAAGTTCTTTGGTTAATTTGCTAACAGAGGCAAGATTACAAGAAAGGTTTGGAACATGTAGGACTTTAGAGAGGTTAATAGATGAGGAAATCCTGACATTTCCCATCCTTGCAATGGCTGAAAAAGAGCCATCTGCAACTTTAACTTTTTTATCCCCTGCACAAGGGTTATATGAGGAGTAGAATTTTGAAATAGAGGTCATATGGTCTGTTGCACCTGAGTCAATGACCCAGGTATTTTTTGGTTTTTTAGAACAGAAATATGATGTTATTTTACCATTTTGGGCAAAGAGCAAGAAGGGTTTTCCTGGTTAGGGCTCTTTTTGGTATTTAGAAGCTGTAGGAGTTGCTCTATCTGTTCCCTTGTGAAGGAGAGCTGCTTGGAAGTGTCTGGTTGTTCCTGTCCAGTTTCAAGCATGGTAGTGTGTAGGGCTTTGTCAAATTTTTTCTGTCCTGCTCCTGGTGGTTTTCCATGAATCTTCCAACATGTCTCCCTGGTGTGCCACAGTTTCTTGCAATGATCACACCAGGGCTTCTTCTTCTCATTTCCTTTGGCAATCATTACTGAGGACTCCCCTGGCTCATCATTGTTATGTACTGGAGTATTGTACATAACCTTCTTCCTATTGTCCTCCATCCTTATCTCAGAAAAACCTCTCTGATTGAGGGAAGAGATTTCTTTCCAAGGATTCTTCCCTTCACTTCATCCAGATCCCTATTAATTCCTGCTAGAAACATATAGACCCTATCATTTTCCTCTCTTTTTTTGTGTCTTGCCAGATCTTTGCCACTTTCCCATTCTTCATCATCATAGCATTGATCCAATTCTTGCCATAGAGATACCATCTCATTGTAGTAAGAGATGACATCTCTATTTCCTTGTTTGGACTGCCAGAGAATGGTTCTTAACTCAAAATTTTGAGAAGAATTTTCAAGATCTGAGTAAGTCTCTTTTATGGAGTCCCAGACCTCCTTTGCTGTCTTCATAAACATATGAGGTTTTGCAATTGGGGCCTCCATGGAGCTCAGGAGCAAGGCTGTGATAAGTGAGTTTTCTGACTTCCATGTGTTGTAGCCTTCCTCTCTAGGAATTTTTGGTTTGATTTCTCCTATGAGGTACCCCAGTTTTCCCCTCCCATCAATTGCGAGCTTGACAGATTGAGACCACTCCAAATAGTTTTTTCCATTCAATCTATGGCTTGTAATTAGCATAGATGAATGAATAGGAGATTGGTAATTTGTCATAGGGCTAATTTGGGAGTTAGGGTTGGTAATGTGGGATGAATCAGAATGTGTGGTTTCTACCATCGTGATGTGTAAACCGAGGCTCTGATACCATGTAGGTTTTAGGAATTAATCTTCCTTGAATTTATTGAGCCATACGGCCTGAATATATATACATAGTACAGTAAACAAACTCCCTATGCCGATCCTAAAAAAATTGGATCTATACAACAACAATACTTATCTACTAATAACTGCAGTCTAATCTACTCTGTAATCTAATCTACAGGTACACACGTACACTATCTAATAATAGCAATTAAATGTAACATTTTCTACAAATTCTCTATAAAGTTGCAAAATCTAAATTTTTAATTAAAAATTGTTGTCTTAATTAAGTGAATAAAATGAGTCTATTTGACCCGAAAAGTCAATTTTTACAATTCAATTTGGAAGGGAGAGAGTGATAAATGATGACTATGGAGTATAGACTATAGAGTATTTATGTATTACGAGTAGTAAAGTAGTGTAACAGTGAGCTTGATTTTTCTTTTATCAATTTATCATTTTCAACGGCAAGAAAAAAAAAGAGAGGGAATAAATAAATATGTACAGCTCCAGGCTCACAAAACAGAGGAGGGTAGATAACAAGTAAAAACCTCCAAAACTTCACCACCAAATCCCCATGGCGTAAAGCAATAATAACTACTCCGTACAAAATATACTTTGCGTGCCCGTAACTCATTTGGCCCCTGGCTCGTCCACTAAGCACAACCCCTAGGAAAGCTTTCTCTCTGTTTCTTCTTCTTATTCCTTGTCTCTTGCCTTGAATCGCGCACTCGAGTGGGTTTCTGCAATGCTTCTGCGTGTGTGAAGTATATTATATATACGAGATTCTAGGAGAGGGTTTGGAAGGAAGGAAGGAAAGCTGGGAAAGGCAGGAGATATAAGGTTGGAGGGGCTTTTCGGGTGTATCAATGAAATCACAACGGCTCTGGCCTTCTCTTCTAGGATGACCTCCGACTCCGCCTATCGGGTCCAAACCACTTCGCGCCTCGCGCAATGGCGGATCGACAATCTCTCCTCCTGCACTTACCGCAAGTCTGATCCTTTCAAAATCGGTTTATGGAATTGGTCAGTCATCTCTGCTTCTTCGCACTCCCCCATTTTTACTGCTTCGCTGATCGGATGTCGTGAATGTGATTGTTCTATTCAATTCTAGTGAAAATACACATCATTCTTGACAGTAGATTAATTTTAATCGTTTGCAAAGTTCTAAAAGTGATCTAGTAAGTTTATTGTGATTATCTTAGTAGAATTGAACTTTCTGCATGACTTAACAGTTCAAATGAATCGTTGATTCTAATCAGAGAGAAAAAATTGCAACCATTGGATTATATTTTGGCGCACAAAAAAAATATGCCATCAGGCATTTTGTACGGGGGATTTATAAGAATAGTCGTGGAGAGGGGGTTCTTATAAGATTAAGAAGAATTGAACTATCAAGAAATATGTTGATAGTACAGCTGTACAGAGATCATTTTGCAATTGAGGCAAATGATGAGCTACCAGGATTCCGTCCTTTTAACAGTGTGAGAAAGATAGTCTGCTCTAGTTTGTAGAGATTTCATATCCTGAGTATAGGTTTGAGCTATTTGTCATTAGTTCCTTTGGAAATTAGAATAGAAACTAGGGACTCGGACTCCACAATGAAGTTTAAATAAGCTGCATTAGCAGCCTAGTCTGCTGCTCCATCCATTGCAGACAGTCCTGCATTAGGAACAAATTTAGCCTTTAAGAGAATCTGAAGTGCAAAAGTTAGCTTCCCTGTTGGATTTCTCATTATAGCTCCTCCTCTCATATGATTGGCTTTATATGATGCATCCATATTTAGTTTGATTTCAGAAGCAGGCCTGATCTGTGTGTGTTTCTGCAACGTGTAGCAAATTAATATTCTTCCTTTAACATGAGACCAGTATTGCAGTTTTTTATATAAACATTAAAATGAGAAGCAAGGGTCAAGCACGCCTTAAAATTTTTTTAGAGAGAATAAATTTGCATGGCTGTGATATGAGGCAAACCTGACAAGCCCCTAATCCGAGCCCAAAACAGCTTTAGTTACAATAGGATACACACACACATATATATATTTTCTTTGTATATACTCCGTTTATAATGTGATATTATACTACTGATTAGTACTTCTTTCGTTCTTTTTTAGTTGCAACATTCCTTTTTTTACGCTTGCCAATGCATAACTTTGATCGTCATTATATTTAATTCTCTATTGGTAAAAAACTTTTAAAAATCAGATTACGAAACTTTGTAATGAGACGAATTCAACAATATTTTTCAAAAAAAAAAATAATTCACATACATTAATAAATAATTCAAAGATTCATTATTTTTTGGCTTGAGAATATGATGGAATAACGCAAAATGGCTCACTAAACTGTCTGCGATTCTTTGTTATGAAGCAGCAGTCAGTCCATGCAATTTTGGATGCGATTTTCACTATGGGTCATCCGGAAACAGTCTTTGTGCTTTAGTACAGGGGTAAGACTGCGTACATCTGACCCCCCTTACCCCACCGTAGGTGGGAGCCTTTGCGTCACTAGGGTAAATGAAAATGATGAAAATGATTATTAATAAATAAAATGTGGTCAAAGTAGAGTACATGAATAGTGTGTAAATTTCAATGTTGCAACTATTATGATAAGGAGGATAGTATTTATTTTTAATACTTTATTTTGTTGTAAATCCCGAATTCTGCGTAGTTGTACAGGCCCAACCTTGAGAACTACGGAGTACTTTTTAAGTGTCCTTTTTTCATTCTCAAGTTCAGTTGTGATGATTTGCTAATTGAAAGAGACATTGTTATTTGTGTTGAAGGCATTTAGTAGTTGAGAAGAACAGAACATTGATCATTAAAGTGTACCCCGAGATTTCAAATCTGACAAGGGATAGCCCTCCTATAGCATCATTTATCATTAGAGCAATCTCGTCCTTCGGTGATCGCAAGACTTTGGTTCACCCGGGTACCTGATTTTTTCCCTCTTGTTTAATTTTTAGTTTTGTGGGTTTTAATTCTTCCTCTTTTGGATTTCCCCTCATGATTATGGGGTTTAATTTTGACAATGGTTTCAATGCAGAAGTTGTAGACAAGCAACTTAAGACCAGTGAAGACTTCGTTTGGGCAATTGAACTTCCAGCTCCTGGCAAATTCATCATTGACATTGAGTTTCTTGATCTGAAGATCACCTCTCCAAAGGTATTTTCTTTATCCAAACACAGCCATAATGATTTAGAATATGCCATTTCATGTGTCTTAAGATAAATGGGTGGTAATCCTTAACTCTTCTCTTGAAGTTATTTACTTGAAGCATATTAAAGCCTTATTGGATTTGAGATCTAGTCTGTTAAGTCATCTCACATCGGTCAATATTCAAAAAATATAAATCTAGATGTAATGCTCTGGTTATCAAATACGAAGTATTATATATTTGATTATTGAATATTCTTCCATTATTATATAAAAATGCTGAACAGACAAGAGAGCTTTGCTCAATCTGGGCTGAAGGCTTCACAGAGAAAGAGACTAATGCGAGTGCATTAATATCACTGGGCCGGATGTTGTCTGAAAGGATCCACACTGACATTCAAATCAACACCGCAGATGGGAGCATTGCAGCCCATCGAGCCGTTCTTGCAGCCAGGTCACCTGTATTCCGAAGCATGTTCTCACATGATCTCAAGGAGAAAGAGCTGTCTGAGGTGGACATCTCTGATATGTCGGGGGAAGCTTGCCGGGCTCTTCTTGGCTACATATATGGGAGCATACAGAACGGGGAGTTCTTAACCCATCGATTAGCTCTCCTTCGGGCAGCTGACAAGTATGACATTGGGGACTTGAAGGAGACGTGCCATCGAAGTCTAATGCAAGACATAGACACCAATAACGTCCTTGACAGGCTCCACAATGCCTCGCTTTATCAACTCCCGGAGCTGAAGGAAAGGTGTATGCAATATCTTGTGAAGTTTGGAAAGATATATGACATCCCAAATGACTTTAATGCTTTTCTTCAGTATGCAGACAGAGAGCTCGTCTCAGAAATTTTCCATGAAATTCTAGCTGTATGGAAAGGCTTCTGATCGAATTACTTCTATAGTTAGCATAACTATCCTGTTTTTAGCTGATAATAAAGAAAGGGAAAGTAGCAAGCAATTAATTGTGCATTTGTTATTACTGGTGTAGATGTTAATTGTCTTGCAGCATTTTACAGCATTGTGCATCAGATGACATAATAGTATATTATATTATATCTCCTGAGTACGTATAACAATGAGAAATGCTGACGTGAATTGGAGAAATTAGATGAATGTTGGGGTACTAATTTAGAATTCCCTATAAAATATTCTTCTCATTTCCTTTAAAGAGTGCTTTGTATAAAAGACTATTTGTATAAAAGATTTATACATTTTTAAAAAGAAGGTACTCCCTCCGTCCCCCTAAGTTTGGGACGGAGGGGTGTGGTGTGGTTTTTAAGAAAAAGTGGAATTGTGTGGTTGGTATTGAATTGATAAAGTGTAAATAAAGTAAGAATGAATTCTAACCACTCAAATGTTACCAAATATGGTATGAGACAAACTTAGTGGGACGGACGAAAAAGGTAAAACGGAACAAACTTAAGGGGACGGAGGGAGTAGTTTTTAAAGTGATTTTAGAAAAAATGTTAATAACAAAATTTAGGTGTTTGAAAAATATTTTTGTTTGGAGAAGTAAAAATTGATAAAATATTGACACTCCATACAGAAAGTGTTTATTGTACAATAGAAAACTCAAAAACAATTTATATCCTCTCAAGTCTCAACTTGCTTTTGGCTTTTAATTTTCAATTTTCAAGTACTTAAATTAAACAAAAATTGTGAGATTAACACTCATTTTCATCTTTTTAAAAGTTTTTGCAAACACTCCCTTAGTCTCATTTAACTATTTTTATTCCTTCAATAGAACTAATTACTTTGAAAGCATAACCGGTCTTATTCATGAACTTCTTCCATGTTTTGCTCTTATTACGGAAGTTTCTTAATACTCATTAGGTTGTACACTTGTATCACTAAAAATATTATTATCCGTAATAAAAAAGAAAGCAGTGCCAACTGCTATAGCTTTCATTATCTGGTATGTTGATTCGAAGGAACTGGCCTCATCAGGACTTCAGGAGTACCAACACACTATTGCAATTTTACATTACCCATATGCCATATGGCATGGAGGGAAAATGGAGAAGTGTATAAATTAAATTTTCGTACCACCCAAACCTTATGAGTCTTGTAGGTCGCAAGGCTGTGTTTGAGCCTTACATGATATAAATGAAGAAAAATGTTGGTGAAATTCACATGTGACTCGGTCAACCACCAAAAAGATAGGCAGCTGCTGCTTCTTCATTGCCATTGAAAAACTTCAAAGCCTGTATGACTGCATCCTTTCCGAACCCCAGCTCAACAAGCTTGGCAACTTTCGCTTCAGAATAAGGTTCCTGTTAAACATAACAATCACAATCACATTCAGCTAACCTAATTTGTAATATAATCATAGAATACAGCCACTACAAATAAGAAATTCTGTTGTGCATTACCTCCGGTGCACCCCGACTAGAACTCCCTGCACGCCGAAACAAAAACAATAATGTGAATTGCCACTCATCAAAACCAAATAAAAGATCACTAGGCCTAAGCAAATGTTACTATAGTTTGAATTGCCATCACCAACAATGTTGCCATTTTTTCAATGTTCATTTTTTCAAGTAAATTGTCATCTGATTGAGGAATAATATTATTCATCAATAACTTTATACTCATATCTGTTTGTTTTTTAATTTATCACTTTTTTTACAGAATGTCAGAATTAGTTGTCTTGTTTGCTTTTGCACACATATTAAGATACATAATAAGATAAGATGCTGCCTCCGTCCCAAATTAATAGTCTTTGTGCTTTTGCTTTTGCTTTTGCACACATATTAATAGTGGTTGGAAAGTTAATAAATGTAGATGAGAGTCCAGTAGAAAAAGGTGAAATGGTGAACCACATATTTTTGTCAAAAAAGAAACATGATAATTATTTTTGACAGATAAAGGAGAGCAGGACGACTATTTCAGGACAAGAGGGAGTAGTATTTCGAAAAAATGACCAAAATAAGACTATGAACTATCAGATGGACAAAAATGAGACCTAATTTTAATCTGGACAAAAAAGAGACTAAATAAAATTGAACTAACATAAAATGCCCCAATATAAATACTTAAAAATATCCCCAGATCTGCATTTCCTTCCTCTTTCCGTCTGAACCTTCTCCTCCCGCGTCATGGCCGCCGTACCCTAACCATCACTTCACCTCCGGCTACCTAGGAAGCACGGAAACTCTCCATGGCTCACGTTTCCACGCTTCGGAAACTCGGAAGCGTTTCGGAAACTCGGAAACTTCAAATTCCCGTTTCGGGGCCGTTTCCGTAATTAAGAAAAATCTGGAAACCCGTTTCACTACGTTTCGGAAACCTCGGATTCCAATTTTTTTCTTTTTCAAAAGATTCTGTGGTGGAAAATAATGTTTATAGTGAATTTTTGTGGTATTTCTCAGCGGCAACATTGTGGAGTGATTTTTTAGAAATACTTTCCACTGAGATAGTTTCGTAACACAAAACATTGTGTTACGAAATGTAACAAGTGTTTAACACAATGTAACAAATATGAAACGTGGAAAATATGTAACAAATGTTCGTAACACAATGTATTGCTAGAAATGTATTACTCCGTACATTTTATGTTTAATTATGTACTAATATGAAATAATATCTAAATTCGAACATGTAGAGTGATTTTATTATTTGGTTATTAAACAAATTATATTAAAAAAACATGTGCATATGGAAAAACTTGTGTACATATATTAAAAAATATATATAAATATATCCTTATATTTTATAATATTTACGCGTTTCCCCCACATTTCGTGTCCTATATTTTTTAGAAATTACGTTTCTCGCGTTTCACGTTTCCCGTTTCACGTTTCCCGTTTCCCGTTTCCGTGCTACTTAGCCGGCTACACTTCAGATGCTCCGGTGACGTAAGTTTCCAACAACGACGGTGTCCAACAGCAGCGGCTCCACAGTTTGTAAGGATGATTGCACATCTGGTCTCCTCCGTCACCTCTGGAGCTCCTCTCCTCCGACGCCTATTCCAGTCCCCGTCCCCATCGTCGGCTGAACCTCGTGATCTTCTTCTTATAATTTCTTCTGTCCGCAAACAGAGGCTATATCTCCGAGCTAGATCCAGGTTGTCTTCTTCGCGACAAAATCATGGATTTTGGATTGGGGCGGCCAAAGTAGTCAAAAGCGAGCGCCTGGGCGCTTAAGCGCACCAGCCATATCGACTGAACAACAGCCGGGCGCAGCCACGCAGCTCTCTGTGTAAGATGCAGGTTAGGCGCAGAAGCGCTAAAGCACTAAAAAGTGCTCGCTATTCTCGCCTGAAGTGGAAACACACGTTTAAGCCTGATATTTAAGTTTCAGACTATTTTAAATAAGAATCCCATATTTTTAATATGATAAAGCCCATCAAAATACTTTGGTCATGGTCACTGGACAGTGACTTGATTTAAAGAGCATAAAGTCAGTTTAGTCTCATTTTTCAAAACGGGAAAAGAAGCTCTCTTTTGTCCATATCTCATATTTTAGTAATATTTTTGACAAAACCCCTAGTAATTAATATGTTTAAATATGCTTTTGTTCCTTGCAGATATAGCACTCTTTGTTTTAAATCTTTGCGAAACATTTTTATCATTCCTGTAATCTATACTGTTTTCTTTTTAGTCCCTCTTGAACTTCAGGACTATATCCATTTAGGAAATAATTAATGTAGATTGTACAAATCTACTTTTAACTTCTATTTATATAAGTTTCGGAGACTAATCGAGAAACTAAAATTAAGTGACACTAATCGTTCGCGTTTTTTTAAAGGTCTTGGCTTCTTTCTGGATATCTTTATAAAGTTTTTTAGAATATCTTGAAAAAGAAAGACATGAAACCTATTAACCTGTTTGGTTGCATTGTACAACGAAGGTTGGGGACTGAAAAGCAAAACAACATAAATTAGAGATGGGAAAAAAAATGATATGAAGCAGGAAGAGCATGGGGCGGGGCGGGGCGGGACGGGCTTGAGACCACCTTCGTGGGCTGGCTGCGGGCAATTTAATTAATTTTAATTATTCCTTTTATTTTGTTTCCTTGTATAATTTAATTAGGACTTCTATTCTCATTAGAATTAGAGGTTTACTATTTCTATTTAGTTTCCTAGAATGATTTAATTAGGACTTCTATTAGAGAATTAGAGGTTTCCTATTTCTATTTAGTTTCCTAGAATGATTTAATTAGGATTCCTATTCTTATTAGACCTAGAGGATTATTTATACCCCTTGTATGCTTCATTCTTGATCATCTTGGAATAAAATTGGTTTTAGCCTTTTGGCTCTGGGAACGATATTTTTATGGTTGATTATCTGGGCAACCGTTTACCCCGTTGATTTTATTTTTCTGTTCTTATCAATTGGTCCGACCTGCCGAATCCCGTCCCGCCAAGATGACGAGATCTCAAAACGATCGATTAACGGAGCTGGAGAATGAACAAACTCGCACAAGAGAGGAAGTGGCCCGACTGGGGGCTGAGCTGGCAGATCACGGTGCCAAGCTGACGAAAATCGCTGCCTCGTTGGCCGCGTTGACGCAGGCATTGGTGCCACCCGTTTCACAGGATTCTGCCACGGCTGGGGTCGGCCGGATCGCGGAGACAGTGCCGCAGGTCGAAGGTGTGATGCGCAACCCAACTCCAATGTTACTACCGGCGTTCGATGGGGGAGACCCGATCGGGTGGATAGCTCGAGTGGAACAGCAGTTCGAATTACACGAAACCCTACCGGAAAAGAAGGTGCCTGACGCTGTAGTGTCCATGGAAAATGGAGCGCTCTACTGGGTAACCTGGCTGAGATCACACAAACCCGGTATAAGCTGGGAAGATTTCAAACAAGCCCTGGTGGCCAGATTTGATTCCCGATATTAGGGAAACAGGTTTGAACGACTATCCGGAGTCAAGCAAACTGGATTTGTGGATTACAATTTTTTTTTGTTCAGCTAGCAAGCCAAGTTCCGGGATTAACTGACGATCATTACTTGGGCTATTACATGAGTGGGCTTAAGGAAACCATCTGAAGCTCATTGCGATTACTTCGGCCAAACAAACTGGAGATGGCTATGGAATTAGCTCGCGGGGTGAAGCATAATTTGTCCGTCCAAAGAGGAGAAAGTGGCAGTCTGAGAATTATCATTCTTCAGGAGT